GCCCGCGGTGGGGCATTCAGCCCTGGACAACGTCAATGGCACAAATGCCACCCGAGACAGCCGCTCCGGGTTTTGTACAGAATAAACTCTCCTCCGGATGACTTGCAGTTTTACGCCTTTGCTATTGTGTAACTCTTGTGGATTCAAACAGGGCGTAATTCGACGGTGACACCACTGCAGTCACCGCCACAACAATAGCAACCATTGCGATAATACTTCCTTTAAACACAAAGCTACCTTCTACGATACCGACTAAAAAGCTTCCCAGTTTTGCATACTAACACAATCAAAGACGCCAAAATAATCAAAATCGCATCAAAGGCGGTCTGGGAAAAGTCTGCATAATATAAGATCGTCTACCTCGCTTGGTTTTCATAAACAGGGACGCTCTTGTAATCCATGCTGTCTATGCCGGGACTATTATGCATAACGCTACTGACTGAACTCCTCCCTGGTACTAAGGTGCAGCATATAATTTGGCTAGGACAGCTTTCTTGCCTAAACCCGTGTTTTCTTTTGTGTTCTTGCACAAGTTTTTGATGTTCGCTTTCCCATGTCCCCGTCCCTAGATGTTGACAAAGAACCCTGAAGACTATCCAGACGCCAAGTTGCAACCCCACGTGCAGGTCGCCCTACGTTTCAATCAGGCCACGAATTTGGGCGGTGCTGCGGCGACTTCAAGTAGCCGGCGTTTCCGCGCTGGCGATACTGTGGAGTACATAATCTGTGAGGACGGTACTAATCGATCTGCTGTCCAGCGTGCATACAGTCCCGCCGAGATGTCCGGTGAATTTCGACTCACCAAGGCCGATGGTTTGTTCATCAACTCTCTCTTATGTCCCTTATCTCCGGATTTTGCGTCTTTGCTCCTGTGAATCCAGCCCTAAATTTGATTGAAAGTAGATGAAAGGTCGGGACTGCTTTGCAACGTCATGGATGGGTGGCGTTTACTGATCTAGTCTGATTGCAACATGGAATAGAGACGTCCCGTATACTGCTTGGAGCTCCTTCTAACACTAACATAGCAGTAAACAGGCGGTTATGATTAAATATTACCAAGAATACAGAAGACACTGGTATTGTCATTTCTGGCCCAGTTGCCCTGTCGACTAGTCGAACCACAGCTAATGAAGAGCTGAGGCTCGAATCCGTTCCCAGTCATTTATTAAACCCTTCGCGTTACTACTTCAACCAGCATTCTGTGTCGGGCATAACTGGCCGACTACGACAGATAAATCAAGACTAACCATATCATTTCTTTTTAGACAGGATGAAGTTACAGACAAAGACAAAAGAGACTGGAATAGCTATTTATCACTTATTAGGCGTCATAAGCCAACTATATCCAGTCCCAGGTTTTGCACTTCCCGAGGCCTATTAGTTAAAATTTCAACGACCCCGATTTGTTGTCTTCCACCTGTCATGCTGTGGCAGAGAAGGCCTTTTATGTTCACCCATTTGTGCCACTTTGGAGCATGCATCGCAGCCTGTCACCACAAAAACTCTGTCTCAATATCAGATTTTCTAAGGCGTGTGTATCAGTTGGATTTTACTTTTGACTACTGTACTATTTTCTACGAGATGGTCCTGTCATGTGCTGCAGTGTGCAATAAGAGCACCATGGCTCCATCCTGCAGTCATAATTACTATCATCGCTAACAAAACCAGCGGATTCTAATTAACTTTTCCTCCTTTCCTGTTGCATTTACTTGGACTATCCGATCCTTTTTTCAAGAGGATCAACTCTGTAAACTGTAGTTAATTCCTTAAGCCATTTATTTTCATTCTCGCATCTGCGGGTTTCTGTATTCTTAACGTTAGACGTCGAAAAAATGTGACGCTAACGTAAGACCACACAGGGGGCCGAGCTCTTGCAGCACGTAAGAGATGCGGTCATTATGAGCATGGCGAGCCACTGTGCCCGACCTTAGCCCTAGTCGTCCTTGCGCAGTCGTCTCGCTTATCCCAGATAGAAAAAAGTGGCTAAGCCAACTGTAGCTCATGCTTGCCTAACCGGGTACGCGTTCCGAGTCTAGATTGCGCATGACTGAAAATTTACCAATGAAGGGTATACCTTAGTATGAGTGGGGCAAAGTCGGCAATTTTGCGGCTTCATCTATAATATCCCTTTAGGTCTGGGCATTAGTGCTGTTGTAGGGCACAAAACTACACAAACTTTCATATCGAAATTTCTGAGCTCGATGGTGTTCATGCTCCCCCTTCTCTCAAAAATTAAGCTATCATTCAAACCTGGCTTCACGAGACTCACATAGGCCGATGTTAATATTTATAAAATATGTTGTTAACCAGTTTTATTGCTTAAACTAATGACTTCTCTCAGATAAAGCCGTATTGAGCAGCATACGAGGTTGGCGTTAGGTATTAGCACAGGTAGTCACTTGAACCTAAAGCAGTGTGGATTTCAACAAATACTACCCTGTTGTTAATTATTACAAAGACTGAGAACCGGTTTCTGTATTATACGTTTTTAACGTGAGGTGCCAACGCACTAGATCCGGTGCACACCGTTCGACGTACCCCTTCCCGCACAAAACCGAGAATTTGGTCCCATAGCCACACAAAGGCACTCGGGTACCATTACGAAGCGAACAGCAGATGGCGGAACTGACAAAATATTGATATCAGAGTGCCTTTCTGTAACTGGGGGTCAAACTGTTGAACAAATTTTCAGCGAACCACTTGCCAAACATCTGTCAGTGTTTCCCCACCTCATTTGATTTCGTTCAAATGCACAATGTTTGCTATGCTGTTCAGCCTAATCGGTCTCATCCGGGCTGTCCTTTACTAGCGTGTCTTCAGTAGTTACCCGCTTCCCTCAAGAAGGGAAGAACTACACTGACTTAAGATCGACGAAAGCGTTTTTTTCTCTACCGGTCTGGCTTGCCATGCTGAACCTGATGCTTATGCATTTTTGGTCCGTTAAAGCTGTTGTGCGTCCCGTCTAACGAGTCGAATTTGCTGGTACGGAATCCCACGGGTAAGTATATGACAAACCCGAAAGTTTCACACTTAGCAGGAGCTATATACTAGTCGGGGAGGTTTTACCGAAAACACTGGACGGATCAAAAAGTATCAATGCTACGTTGTTTCCCAACGTCAGTCAGCCGTAGTCGAGTACTGGTTGATATAAATCTGGCCCGGTTGCTGGACTGCTAGGTTTACCCCCTGATAATGAGCAAAACGTTCATTGGTGATTTGTTTAGAAGGGAAAGATATGCGCAATCCGAAGTTTCTTATTCTGTTAGACAGTGTCTACTCGTTAATATACAACCTGCGTTCTAGATCCAAGAAGAAATGTCTGATTTCACGCCCCGGTCTCAATCATCGAATTTGACCCATTTTCATCCCGTTCCTTTTCTGTAGCCGAATCTGACAACCACGACGTACAGCCCGTCACCCTCAAAGTAGACGTACAATATTACTTGGCGCATCAGATCCACCCTGTTGTTTCGCGCCTCGTCGCGCCCATAGAGGGCACCTCGCCAGCACATATTGCCGACTGTTTGGGTCTGGACCCGACTGTCTACCGTCGAACAATGGCGTCCGCCGGCGAAGAGGGTCTTAACGAGGTAGGCACCCGAAATGAACCTGAATGTTAAATTATTCGCCTTAAACTGCTACTTTCTTGGCAGTAAAATGATGGAAGAAGCCCTTCCATCAAACTGGAAATAGAGCGAGAGGAGGAAGTGAAAGAGAATAATGCTGAGAAAAACATGAGGTTCACTTTTGTTTATTAGTATTTGTGAGGCGCAGGACTGGCGTTGAACTCGTTTGCTTTTTTTTCAGTTCACTTTTTAACCTAACATACTGGAAAATTCCTGCTTGTGCAGCTGGACAGATGACTTTAAACCACCCCGTTGTGTGGTTGAGGCAGGCTTTTAATCTTCGTAAACCATTTTGTCACCAACCACGTCATATCCCCTTCCGATAGGCCACCTTCCAATCTTAGAATATATTAATTGGCTGAGGGTATGTTTGATTGAACGCTCAAGATGCGTTTTGACTTTGATCGTTGATGTACTTGTGATCTTGACACGAATATACCAACAAACAACCCTTCTACCCACTCAACAGTAGTTTCTTCTCCCCACAAGACAGGAACCTCTTCTATATCAGGGATACTGCTGTCGGACTTAGGCTATATAAGTCTTCTCCCTCCCGAACGTCGCCTGACTACCGTTGATATTGAGAGAGCTATTTAACATAGATCTCGGAAACTTATTTCGGCCTCTTAAATTTGGAGCTTTACTTATTCTACCCCTTGGAGTCTTTGCTAGTCGTAT